TGTTAAAAGTTGTTAAAAAATATAACAGAAAATTACTTTTTTCTAAATTTGTGTTAATTCGGGATTTTCGAGGCATTAGTTTAATCATCTGCTGACCCGTATACCATAAAATATTGCAAATACTGACGTAAAAAATATTGAACGTGTAGATTACTTTTTTCTAAATTTGTGTTAATTCGGGATTTTCGAGGCATTAGTTTAATCATCTGCTGACCCGTATACCATAAAATATTGCAAATACTGACGTAAAAAATATTGAACGTGTAGCATACCCGAGGTATTCATCAATCCATTAAAATGGGTCGTGATTCATATTGATCAATATATATTGAACGTGTGCCAGTGCCCTTAGAGGGAAACTTTACACAATTTGTGGTTGGCTCAATTGGCATTTTACCATTTCCTAAATCCAGCAATTGTTTTGCAAAACCTGAAGTTAAATCTAAGGATTTCTTGTGGGCCATGGTGCATTCATCCCACAATATTATTTTATATGTTTGCAGAATTTTACCCATTGAAGAATTTTTCTTAACATTACATGCATAATCTTCAGAAAATTGTGTTTTCAACGGTAATTTGACTGCATACTGCGCATTTCTGCCTCCATCTAAAAGTATTGCTGCAATACCTGATGACGCAATGGCTAAGGCAATATTCTTTTGTGATCGAACTTTAGCTAAAATTAATGAGATGAGAAAGGTTTTTCCGGTTCCTCCTGACGCATCAATGAAATAAAATCCTCCTTGTAAGAAATAATTATTAAGAAATACTATATGTACATAAATATCATTATTTAATAAAATACTTTAAATATCAAACATAAGACAAATTACTTTATGGTTTTGGATAGTGACAAACAAATAAAAATAAAATTTTTATAAACAAAAAATGCATATCAATATATTTTGAAATTTTTTTATTTTATATCGACAGGAGTAGCAAAACACGCCGGATTTTAGCAAGTTTTTATATATATATAGAAGATAGATAGATTCATATGGGAGGTGCCAAGCCCCGCTTATGAAAGTCCGTCCATTTTTCTCGCAAATATTCATATGGATGTTAAAGGTCTTCGTGCAAAATTTTAAGATTAGAACTCCAATAGTTTTCCAGATAAACGAATTTTGGTATTTAATTCCTATGGGAGATGCCACGCTCCCTATTGGTAGTCCGTCCTAAATATTCATGTCGATACTACAGTGGTTCCGATAAAATTTGAGGACTCTAGCTGTTATATTTTCTCAGATATACTAATTTAAGATTTTCTATATATGGGAGGTGCCACGCCCACTGTAGCTATGCTGCCCATTTTGTCAACATGTGTTCATATGAATGTCAAAGTTGTTCATACAAAATTTGAGGACTCTAGCTGTTGCAATTTCTGAGATATGCGACTTTTAATACTTATTTTGTAGGTGGGCGTGGCACCTCGCCTACTTGAAATTCCAAAACAAAAGGTAGCCTATAGTTCCTTCCGGACATAGCTAAAGACACTCTGAAAATTTCAAGGAAATCGGATTAGCCGTTTAGCTGTCTATAAAGCTCAAACAAACATACATACAAACACACATTCATTTTTATATATATAGATAACAACTTTTTTTGTGGTATTTTTTTAGTGGTTGACAAAAACGTCAAAAAATTACAACTCCTAAGTAGCAGTTGTTTTACATATATTATAAATAAAAATGGAAAGCGGGTAAGTAATTTTGTTTCTAATTGTCTTAAAATATTTTATTAATGAGAAATTTCGAATGATTTTTTCAGAAACAAGTTAGAGTGCTATATTCGGCTATGACGAATCTTAAATACCCTCCACCAGCAAGCTACTTTTTATTAAAACCCATAGAATATTACCGTAGAAGGCCAACTCTCCCGTAAAAACCTAACTCAGCTGTCAAAAAAACCTAACTCTAAATATGTATTAGTAAGATTTTCTTTAGAAGTGTTAGTATATTAAAGCTTTTTACCACACATAGAATGCCCACGTAGTATAAAATCGGTCGAAATAATATTACAATGTTTTTATTGCATTATTTTTCTTAAATTAGTACATTTTAAATTGTAGATTGCATTTATAAAAGTATTATAATATTTTTCATGCATTCTATATTTGTTAAAATGTAAAAATCTTTAATTTCTTGGATTATCATAAATTTGTTCACTACTAAGAAATATGAGGGGTAGGGTCAATTATGGACCGATCCTTATAAAATTTTACAAAGCGATTAAGGTTCCTATAAAATATGTTCATATCGAATTTCATCGCTATAGATGCTTCTTTTAGAAAGTTCTGAGCGTTAAAATCTTTTTCGGAAGGGGACCTTATATGGGGGTAGGATCAATTATGTACCGATCCTTATAAAATCTTACAAAGCGATTTAGGTTTCTATAGAAAATGTTCATGTCGAATTTCATCGCTATAGATGCTTTTTTTGACAGTTACGAGCGTTAAAGTCATTTTCTGAAGGGGACCTTATATGGGGGGTAGGGTCAGTTATGGACCGATCCTTATAAAATTTTATAAAAATATTAAGGTTCCTATTAAATATGTTTGTGTCAAATTTCATCGCTATAACTGCTTCTTTTAGTCAGTTATGAGCGTTAATGTCATTTTCTGAGGGGGGCCTTATATGGGGGATAGGGTCAATTATGGACCGCTCCTTATAAAATTTTACAATGATGTTAAGGTTCCTATAAAATATGTTTATGCCGAATTTCATCGCTAAAGCTGCTTCTTTTAGTCAGTTATGAGCGTTAATGTCATTTTCTGAAGGGGACCTTATATGGGGGGTAGGGTCTATTATGGTCCGATCCTTATAAAATTTTACAAAGATATTGAGGTTCCTAAAAAATATGTATGTGTCGAATTTCATCGCTATAGCTGCTTCTTTTAGTCAGTTATGAGCGTTAATGTAATTTTCTGAGGGGGACCTTATATGGGGGATAGGGTCAATTATGGACCGATCCTTATAAAATTTTACAATGATATTAAGGTTCCTGTAGAATATGTTCATGTCGAATTTCATCGCTATAGATGTTTCTTTTAGTCGGTTATGAGCGTTAAAGTCGTTTTCTGAAGGGGACCTTATATGGGGGCTAGGCGAAATCGTGAACCGATATTGCTCATTTTCAATACCAAACAACTGCATCAATATAAAATATTTGTACAAAATTTCAGCTCGCTAGCTGCTTCCGTTTGGACTCTATCGTGTTTTCAACAGACGGACAGACGGACGGACATGGCTAGATCGTCTTAGAATTTAATAAGGATCCAGAATATATATACTTATGGGTCTTAGATGAATATTTCGATGTGTTACAAACGGAATGACAAAAAAATATACCCCCCATCTTTTTTGATGGTGGGTATAAAAACAAAAAATTAAAAGTCAAACAATTGAAAAAATAATTTTTTGGTTTGTGAAAATTAAAAAGATTTCGATAAAGAAAATATATTAAAACAATTTAAAAACAAGTAAGAGTGTTATATTCGGCTATGCCGAATCTTATATACCCACCATCAAATCACTGTCATATAAATAAACTTTGATATTTTGAATATTTTATTATTATGTATCGATATTAATGAGAACATCATTGTAATATTTGAAAGAGGTCCATTAATGGGGGTTTAACTATTGACAGTGCTCTTTCGAATTAAATATGTTAATTTATATAGGGAGTAGGGTTATATATACACATATGGACCAATTCTCACAAAAGTCGGTAGGAAGATTTCAGTTTATTTATTTCAAATTTCATAGATCTACTTGTATTTTTTAGCCAGTAATGAGCATTTTCTTAAAGGGACCTTATACGGGGTTAAGGTTAATTATGGACCGATCCTCATAAAATATGGTAGAGAGATTTTAGCTAAAAATTAAAGGTAGAGTCAATTATGGACCGATCCCCACAAAATTTTGTAGAGAGATGTTAGCTCATACAAAACTATATCGAATTTCATCGCCTTACCCGCTTTTTTAGGCCAGTAATGAGCGTTAAAGTAATTTGCTGTTAGGGACCTTATATGTGGGATAGGGTCATTTAAGGCCCGATCCACATAAAGGTTTTGGCTCCTAAGATACTTATTTCTGTCAAATTTCTTCGCTATACTCGTATTTTTACGCCAATAATGAGCGTTAAAGACATTTTCAGAAGGGGACCTTATATGGGCGGATAGGGGCAATTATGGACCGATCCACATAAAATTTGGTAGAGAGAAGTCATATAAAACTTACTTCTGTGAAATTTCATCGCTATACTCGTATTTTTATGCCAGTAATGAGCGTTAAAGTAATTTTATGGAGGGGACCTTATATGGGGGGTAGGATCAATTACGGACCGATACACATATAGTTTGGTGGAGAGATATTGGCTTGCATGAAACTTACGTGTGTCAAATTTCATCGCTATATTCGTATGTTTAAGCCAGTAATCAGCATTATAGTCATTTTCCAAAGAGGACCTTATATGGGGGGTAGGGCCAATTATGGACCGATCCACATAAAATTTGGTAAAGAGATTTTGGCTCATATAAAACTTACTGTAAAATTTCATCGCTATATTCGTATTTTTAAACCAGTAATGAGCGTTAAAGTAATTTATGGAGGGGACCTTCTATGGGAAGTAGGGGCAATTATGGACCGTTCCACATGAAATTTTGTGGAGAGATTTTTACTCGTATGAAACTTACTCATGTCAAATTTCATCGCTATACTCGTATTTTTACGCCAATAATGAGCGTTAAAGTCATTTTCTGAAGGGAACCTTATATGGGGGGTAGGGCCAATTATGAACCGATCCACATAAAATTTGGTAGAGAGATTTTGGCTCATATAAAACTTACTTCTGTGAAATTTCATCGCTATATTCGTATTTTTAAGCCAGTAATGAGCGTTAAAGTAATTTTATGGAGGGGACCTTATATGGGGGGTAGGGGCAATTAAGGACCGATCCACATATAGTTTGGTGGAGAGATATTGGCTTGCAAGAAACCCATGTTTAGCAAATTTCGTCGCTATATTCGTATGTTTAAGCCAGTAATCAGAATTATAGTAATTTTCAAAAGGGGACCTTATATGGGGGGTAGGGCCAATTGTGGTTCTATGTCCGACATAATTCAGAATTTTATTTCGGAGGTTAAAAAACTGACTTATGCTAAATTTTGTGCCATTTGCTTCATAAACAACGAATTTGTGAATGTTTGAAGCTTTTTACACAATATTCCGGGGGTACATTTGTATGGGGGCTATGTGAAATCGTTGACCGATTTTGCCCATTTTCAATACCAAACATTTCTGATCAATAAAAAATATTTTGGGAAAATTTCATCTCAATATCTCTTTTTTTGTGGACGCTATCGTGCCAACAACAGACAGACGGACATAGCCAGATCGTCTTAGAATCTTACGAGGTCCCAGAATATATATACTTTATGGGGTCTGTGAACAATATTTCGATGTGTTACACACGGAATGACAAAATCAATATACCCCCCATCTTTTTTGATGGTGGGTATAAAAATAAATAATGTGTGTTTGTGTTATAAAAATTGTGTCGGAATCGTTTTTTTTTGTGCGAATGTTGGACCTGAAATATTGAATATTTGTTGTTGTAGCTTTGTGTTGAATTCACACAGAACGTGTAAGTGTGAAGAGAGAAAGCTCTTTTTTTCGTGGTAAAGCTTGAGTTGTATGTGTATTATGTGTATTATCTATGCATTTAACTATCTAATCTTTAGATAAATTTTTGCATATGTCAAACTAATTTTAATTAGATCCAGAAAAATTTAGATTAATAGGCCAGTTCGAAAACATTTTAATATAATGATTTATCTATACACAGAACATATTCATTTTAAACTTTATCCGGATATAATCATTTAATAGCGAATTAAGTGGTATTAAGTGATTTTCAGAAGTATACCTTATATGGGAGCTAAGACAACTTATGGACCGATCCGGAAAAAATTCCATAGAATGATTTATATATACAAAATACACATTTATGTCCAATTTTATCCCGATAACTTTGATTGTCAATTTGCATTTGAGTAATTTTCGGAAATGGTCCTTATATGGGAGTTGTGACCAATTATCGACCGATATGTCAAAATATGTGCGTTTAAGTGATTTTCGGAAGTGGACTTTATATGTATAGGAGCTATAACCTTACACAAAACATATTTGTGTCGAATTTTATCAAGATATCTTTATTTGATAATGAAATATGTGCTTTTAAGTGATTTCTTTTGAAGTGGACCTTATATAGGAACTATTACCATATATGGACCAATCCGGACAAAATTTGGTAGAATGATTTATATGCTCACAAACCATATTCAAGTCGTACTTTATCTCGATAGCTTTATTATTCAAAGAAATATATGCGTTTAAGTGATTTTCGTAAGTGGACCCTCTATGGGAGCCTATCCGGAAAAAATTTCGTAGAGTGATTCATATAAAGACAAAACATATTTGTGTCGAATTTTACCAAGATAACTTTATTTGGTTATTTCTTTGGAAATAACCATTTAATGTAGCTGTGAACTCAAAATTACGCTCAAAATCGAGAGAAATTAAAAAAAATCTTGGGGCACCGGTGTCCGTATACGTGAAAGAGCTAAGTGATTTTCGGAAGTGGGACTTATATGGGAGCTATTACCAATAATGGACCGATCCGGGAAAAAAGTGGTAGAATGATTTATATGTACACAATACATATTCAAGTCGAATTTTATCCTTATAGCTTTAGAATTTAATGAAATATATGCGTTTAAGTGATTTTCAGAAGTGGACCTTATATGGGAGCTATGACCAATTATGAGCCTATCCGGAAAAAATTTCGTAGAGTGACTCATATAAAGACAAAACATATTTGTGTCGAATTTTATCCCAATAGCTTTATAATTCAATGATATATATGAAATATATATAAATTTTATCAAGATAGCTTTATTTGACAATGAAATATATGCGTAATTTTTTTCGAGGTAGTCTGAAATTTTTACTAATAACTTTTTACGTGCTAAGATTTTGAACATAATTGATCACTTCCTCGAAAAAATAATCTGTGTCAAAATTCATCGAAATATCTTTGGTAGTTTCTGAGGAAACTTCAAAAGAATTAGGAAAAAAACGTAATTTTTTTCGAGGTAGTCTGAAATTTTTACTAATAACTTTTTACGTGCTGAACCGATATTGCAGATTTTCAATACCAAACTGCTTAGGATAATAATAAAATTTTGGGTGAATTTGGTTGATTTCCTTTTCTTAGTTTTAACGTGAGCGTGTTTTACACAGACAGACAGACGGACATAGCTAAACGACTCAGAATTTCATAAGGACCCAGAATATATATACTTTGTTGGGTCTTAGATGAATATTTCTTGGTGTTACACACGGAAACAAACAAACAAACTTATATATACCCTCTATCACCACTGATGGTGGTGGAGGGTATAAAAACAGAGTTACAACAAAACAACAGTTTGACAAACTTGTGGAATTAATGGAGAAGCATCCCGAAACAGGTCGAGGTAAACCTCAGTTTGGATGCAGCAAAAATAAAACCAAAGAATTGTGGGAGGAATTTTCCGTTGAGCTGAACAATTTAGGTCCGCCATCAAGAACTGCGCAAGAGTGGGGACGGGTAATTAATGGTTAGGAAAGTAGACCAATAGAATTAAATTGGAATGGTATTTTATGTGTATTATAGGTTTGGATACACTATAAGGCAAATTTGAAACGAAAGCTTACTAACAACAGGAGCAATTTACTGCCAACTGGTGGTGGACACTCGCAAGAAGTGTCGCTGAATCCACTGGAGGAAAGTTTAGCGAATTTAATACAAATAAGGGACAATCATTCGGTGTTGAAAATATACAAGCGGAAAAGGGTGTCGATACAATTATGGACAATTTCATTGCTGCTTCATCTAATCCTTGTGAAGTTAAAATAAAAAGCCTTGACCGCCCCACTTCATGAGAGCCCTTCAATAGATATAAATGTTTCGTAAATGGTTAAATGTTCCTTTGCTAAAAGTCCTTTAACTAATTATTTTAGAATAGTATAGTTTTTAGAACACATGAAGTGATATTTTTTTGTTGTATGCTGTTATTTTTAAGTTACTTTTTATACCCTCCACCACCATCAGTGGTGATAGAGGGTATATATAAGTTTGTCGTTCCGTGTGTAACACCAAGAAATATTCATCTAAGACCCAACAAAGTATATATATTCTAGGACCTTATGAAATTCTGAGTCGATTTAGCTATGTCCGTCTGTCTGTGTAAAACACGCTCACGTTAAAACTAAGAAAAGGAAATCAACCAAATTCACCCAAAATATTTATTATTATCCTAAGCAGTTTGGTATTGAAAATCAGCGATATCGATTCAGCACGTAAAAAGTTATGAGAAAAATTTCAGACTACCTCGAAAAAAATTACGTTTTTTTCCCTAATTCTTTTGAAGTTTTCTCAGAAACTACCAAAGATATTTCGATGAATTTTGTCACAGTGATCAATTATGTTCAAAATCTTTGCAATCGATCCAATATTTCCCATAGCCCCCATACAAAGGTATATATTCACGGAAATTAGTTTATCATACTTAATAACTCCCTCAAATATATCGGTATCAACACAAAATTTTGTACATGCAAATATAATATGAACAGAAATCATACTATCAACGTAGATCTCAGTCGGTCCACAATTGGTCATAGTTGAACATTCGAGTTGAACATGTTTTGTGTACATACAAATCATCCTACCAAATTTTTTACGGATCGGTCCATTATTGGTCATAGCTCCCATATAAGGCCCACTTCCGAAAATCATTTAAAAGCACATATTTCATTGTCAAATAAAGCTATCTTGATAAAATTTGACACAAATATGTTTAGTCTAAATATAAATCACTCTACGACATTTTTTCCGGATAGGCCCATAATTGGTCATAGCTCCCATATAAGGTCCACTTCCGAAAATCACATAAACGCATATATTTCATTGAATTATAAAGCTATTGGGATAAAATTCGACACAAATATGTTTTGTCTTTATATGGGTCACTCTACCAAAATTTTTTACGGATCGGTCCATTATTGGTCATAGCTCCCATATAAGGCCCACTTCCGAAAATCACTTAAATGCACATATTTCATTGTCAAATAAAGCTATCTTGATAAAATTCGCCACAAATATGTTTTGTCTTTATATGAGTCACTCTACGAAGTTTTTTCCGGATAGGCTCATAATTGGTCATAGCTCCCATATAAGGTCCACTTCCGAAAATCACTTAAACGCATATATTTCATTAAATTCTAAAGATATTGGGATAAAATTCGACACAAATATGTATTGTGTACATATAAATCATTCTACCACTTTTTTCTCGGATCGCTCCATTATTAGTAATAGCTCCCATATAAGTCCCACTTCCGAAAATCACTTAGCTCTTTCACGTATACGGAACACCGGTGTCCCAAGATTTTTATACCCTTCACCTTTGTGAGAAGGGTACATATAAGTTTGTCATTCCGTTTGTAATTTCTATAATATAATTTTCCGACCCCATAAAGTATATATATTCTGGATCCTTATAGGTAGCGGAGTTGATTAAGCTATGTCCGTCTGTCTGTCTGTGTGTTTGTTGAAATCAGTTTTTAGAGGCCCCCAGATATCGGCGAGATCCAAATCTTCAATAATTCTGTTAGACATGCTTTCGAGAACATCGCTATTTAAAATCAGCAAAATCGGTCCATAAAAACCGGAGATTAGCAAAATCCGAGACAACCTCTGAAAATTTCATAAAAAATAAAATTTTTTTCATGCTTTGATATACGCAACAACAACAACACTGCTTATTCATTTAGTATTTCGTTTCATGTGTTTGGATGGCTGTGTGTTTCATTGCCTTGTGTATATTGTTTTTATACCCACCATCAAAAAGATGATTTTGTCATTCCGTGTGTAACACATCGAAATATTGTTCACAGACCCCATAAAGTATATATATTCTGGGACCTCGTAAGATTCTAAGACGATCTGGCTATGTCCGTCTGTCTGTTTTTGGCACGATAGCGTCCACAAAAAAAGAGATATTGAGATGAAATTTTCCCAAAATATTTTTTATTGATCAGAAATGTTTGGTATTGAAAATGGGCAAAATCGGTCAACGATTTCACATAGCCCCCATACAAATGTACCCCCGGAATATTGTGTAAAAAGCTTCAAACATTCACAAATTCGTTGTTTATGAAGCAAATGACACAAAATTTAGCATAAGTCAGTTTTTTAACCTCCGAAATAAAATTCTGAATTATGTCGGACATAGAACCACAATTGGCCCTACCCCCCATATAAGGTCCCCTTTTGAAAATTACTATAATTCTGATTACTGGCTTAAACATACGAATATAGCGACGAAATTTGCTAAACATGGGTTTCTTGCAAGCCAATATCTCTCCACCAAACTATATGTGGATCGGTCCATAATTGACCCTACCCCCCATATAAGGTCCCCTTCAGAAAATGACATTAACGGTCATTATTGGCGTAAAAATACGAGTATAGCGATGAAATTTGACACAAGTAAGTTTTATATGAGCCAAAATCTCTCTACCAAATTTTATGTGGATCGGTTCATAATTGCCCCAACCCCCCATATAAGGTCCCCTCCATAAAATTACTTTAACGCTCATTACTGGCTTAAAAATACGAATATAGCGATGAAATTTCACAGAAGTAAGTTTTATATGAGCCAAAATCTCTCTACCAAATTTTATGTGGATCGGTTCATAATTGGCTCTACCCCCCATATAAGGTTCCCTTCAGAAAATGACTTTAACGCTCATTATTGGCGTAAAAATACGAGTATAGCGACGAAATTTGACATGAGTAAGTTTCATACGAGTAAAAATCTCTCCACAAAATTTCATGTGGAACGGTCCATAATTGCCCCTACTCCCCATATAAGGTCCCCTCCATAAAATTAGTTTAACGCTCATTACTGGTTTAAAAATACGAATATAGGGATGAAATTTTACAGTAAGTTTTATATGAGCCAAAATCTCTTTACCAAATTTTATGTGGATCGGTCCATAATTGGCCCTACCCCCCATATAAGGTCCTCTTTGGAAAATGACTATAATGCTGATTACTGGCTTAAACATACGAATATAGCGATGAAATTTGACACACGTAAGTTTCATGCAAGCCAATATCTCTCCACCAAACTATATGTGTATCGGTCCGTAATTGATCCTACCCCCCATATAAGGTCCCCTCCATAAAATTACTTTAACGCTCATTACTGTCATAAAAATACGAGTATAGCGATGAAATTTCACAGAAGTAAGTTTTATATGACTTCTCTCTACCAAATTTTATGTGGATCGGTCCATAATTGCCCCTATCCGCCCATATAAGGTCCCCTTCTGAAAATGTCTTTAACGCTCATTATTGGCGTAAAAATACGAGTATAGCGAAGAAATTTGACAGAAATAAGTATCTTAGGAGCCAAAATTTGATGGTGGGTATATAAGATTCGGCATAGCCGAATATAACACTCTTACTTGTTTAAATTTGAAAAATACTGAATGAAGTACCTACAAATAAAACATGAAATGAAAAAGAATAATGAAACATTTGAAATTTATTAAAGTGATATCATGATGTTATTTCGTATTCTTCTGGCAATATCATCATCATCTCTTTCAATGTTGAAATTTTCATTACTTTGAACCGTACTTGAAGCGGGTGCAATTTCTTCGGGATGTTCTAATCGAAAGTGTAGGCATCTATTATGCAAGGCACAACAAACGTACACAATATGTGTAGCTTTGTTTGGTGAGTAATGTAAAGCACGTGCAGATAAAAGGCAACAAAATCGGCTACTTAATACTCCAATTGTCCGCTCTACAATATTTCGGGCTTTCGAGTGTATAGTATTGTAGCGAGCTTTTGGGGAACCGACTTCTGGCATGCGAAAAGGAGTCATCAAAAAACATTGTAACAAGCATCGCCTTTAAGAATCAAATCAATACATATTTTTTTTTAATAATATCAATATATGAATACTGTATATTCATATAAATAACACCGTTACCTAAAATCCAGGAAATGTTCTGTACAGTTCTCTGCAAATGCGACTTTAAATCACTTTTTCTATTGAGATAATAGTGTTGCATCTTTGTTTTTGGAGCAATAATGAGAACATGTCTCCCATCGATACATCCCAAAATTTCCGGAAACCCAGTTTTTGAATAAACCACAGTTTTGAAGCGTTTTGCTCTTCTTCAGACATTTGAGTTTTTATCCATTTTGCGCAAACACGCTGTTCGATGATATTTAAAACATCTTTCATAACAACACTTGTTGTAGGCTGCGCCAATCAAACATTAAAATCGTTTCCACAACTTTTTTTATAACTCCCGTCAGCCAGAAATCTAAGTGTTGCACATAGCTTCAATATAGGGGGTATAGCGGTACCACGGACAGGTTTTTGGAAATAATCCTTCAGTTCATTCAGAAGGAAGCAAAAGCCTTCCTTATTTAAACGAAAATACTTTATAAATCTACAAAAACATGTATGAAAAAGTTATTCAACTATAAAAAAACATTTCCTTACATGGTGCTTGGAAGTTCCAAAGGTTTGGAGTGGTCACGGAGATCATTGTGGTTCTACCTACTGTTTCATTATTCCAAGAGGCCTTATGGGATTTTCTCCCATATTTTTAGTTCAGCTTTTGTTGCGTCGAATGGTTTTGCGTTTGTCATGTTAACTGCGTCGATCTCCCTTCCCTTTAAAGCTATTACATTCGTCCTTTCGTTGCCGACTACTTCGGAGTGGGCTGGTAGCCATATGATGTAAACCTTACCTCTGAAGTAGTATTCAGTTAAAGCTTTCTTACAGTCCAATACGGTCTTAGATTTAATTTTATCGGCTGATATCGCCCTAATTGCCTTCTGGCTGTCGTTA